GTATACTTATTTCTTGGAAGTGTCAAGTTCTTATTTTGGGAACAGTTCTATTGCTCTGAGTGCAATGGAAAAAAATAGGTAGTGTTCTAAGAGTCAACAAGCTCTTGCTGGTATTGAACAAAAGTGTAGTCAGTCGCTCACTCACCTTTTTACTTAAGTGGGGACCATTAGCCCCCCCAATGCCTCTCTGCACGGATGGTGGCACTTGATACACATCTTGTTCCTGGATACCATGGCCAGTAGGTACTTGGTAAATTCCCTGATTTTGGTAGGAAGGTGGCACTTGATAAATGACATCTCGAGGAGCGCCCTGTGAGTTTGGCACTTGATAGACCTTCTGTTGGCCAAAGGTCTGGTGCATCAGTCCAGAAGTAGGCTGGTCTTGATTGGAGGAGGTCTCCTGTATGGGGCCAATCAGAAGCTTCACCCGGTTGCCCGGGACAATGCCTTGCCGACCATGTAAGGAGCAGAGCCACCATCCTTCCAGTCCTCCTGTGTTCTGCTCTATGACAGTCAGGATGTCTCCCTTGCGAAAGGCCAGTTCCTCAGCACACTCTGGGACATTGTCATATAAGGCTCTTGCCATAAGATTCTATGAGGGAAAGAACAGAGGGAGATCATGTTAGAATATTAGCACAGTCCCTTTAACACTTAAAGCCCATGCTCTTATGGAGAGGCATGCTTCCTGGAAAGAAGAGAAGAATAAATCTGAACAATAGCCTATAAGGAGAAAAACAGATGGTGCAGACAAAAGACAGATACATATATACTCTGTCTGCCACCAATGACATCAGACTGCCTCCTTGGAAAAGCTCAGAACACCACAAGAGTTCTTTCCTCTAGCAGTGGATGCAGTGCCAAGGAGCCAAGACTCAGATGATGGTTCACTATACAAAATGGTTTTCTTCCTTTCTTAAAGCCAGCATAAGGAACAAAATACTCCAAGATATTCAGATGTATACAACTGACGTTTCTCAATTTTTCATATATCGGAGGTAAAAAAGTCAAAGAACATCCCTAATAATAAACAGTACAAATGGCATTTAAAATGGAACAAAAGTACACTTATATATGCATGGCAGGGCTTACAAATTCTTATTTTCAGTTGACCACTAGGTATACAGGGAGAATCTCCAAGCAAGCATTTTTTCCCATGCTAATCAAGCATAGAGCAGAGTGGGGCAGTAGTCTGTATCTCCAGATTTGCTGGCAAGGAGCTACAAAGAGTTTATCACACAGAGGTAGTTGTTGTCTTTTTCTCTTTTTTTTTTATTCACACCTTTCCTGAAGCCCCCTCCTCACCCTGCCAGTATTTCCTACTTCTTGAGTCTCGCCATTCACATCAGAAAGGCTGTGTCTTCCCCCTTTCAAGGGACCCAAAACACTTTCTCTCTTTGTATGAAGGCCTGTCTGGCACATTCAGCACTAAGCAGACAGCCAAAGTAGGCATTCAGCAGAAAGTGGGCAGGCAGTACGTGCTGACATTCTTGGGAGCCTTTCAAAGGCTCCAAAGATTTTATTCCTTGGCATTAGTAGCGTTTTCCAGCATGATGGCAGCCATCACCACATGCCGGCTCCTTCCTAGCACACAGACGAGTCAGGGAACCTTGTAAATCTACCGCAAGCACTTGGAAAACTAAACGCGATCTCTCTAGTGCTTCACTAAAATGTCTGGATGCACTAGATGTTACTGTGATGATGATCATTTGTGGGAGAAAAGGTTGCTGATAGGATGGACCATGTTGGTGGCGTTATATAATAGTGGAATTGGGGCTGCAGTTTGGAACTTCTGTCCCCTGTTTTCTTCTCTAGAGATGTGAACTTGATCTTTCAGCCTCATGCTTTGCATTCCTTTATAACTGACACACACTAATCATCTCTCCCTGTACTGTGCTCTGTAACCACAGGTCTGGCTCTGTGTGCTGGTTCTCTGCTATAGGGTGGTTGTGCTATGTGAGGGATCTCCCCTCTGGTCAGTGGTTGGGAAAGGGTCCGACTTTTACTCTGTGAACTAAATTCCTCTTAGTGCAACCACTTAACCTAAGGAAAGGAGATAAAGCCATAGAGGTCAGTACCCAGGAGGCCTGGTGATGCTCCTTAAGAATAAGGCTGAAATCCCTGTTCTTGAGAAGTTTGAAACCAGGAAGTGTATGACGTAGACAGGTAAGCAGTAAGAAAAGCCAAAGGGAAAATGAAGGGTGTGTGTTCCAGGTGAAAGTTTTACTTTGTATTTATATTCTAGGAAGC